GGACAAAGGAGAGAGCCACGGAATTGAGGAAGAGATCAGCGTGCGAGGGGATGCCCCCGGCTGTGCCCGGGACAGAAGCCCCAACGAAGGCAATGACCACGCCATAGGCAACAACAATCAAAGAAACAAGAGAACTGGGCTGAACCTGCCATTCCAGTGGAAGGGGGGGATTACAGGGGGCAACCTGCAATCTAATTTGTAATATGTAACCTAGCAACGGGGCCCGTGGGGGGATTGAGGCAACTATAAAGGAGTAATGTAAATGTACCAAGCCAGTCCTGGCTTTGGTTGTGACTGCTGCGTTACGCATGAGTAAACCTCTTTTGTGAACCACACGTGTCACGGGAGTTTCTCTGTCGAACGGGGCAAACCTTGCACACAGAACATTTATGTATTATCTTTGAGAAATCCTGCTGACTTGGTTATGTACCAGATGACTGGAAGTGGGCAAATGATAGGATAGGAAGATTCAGGGAACTGCAGGCCAATCAGTCTGACACTTTTATCAGACAAGACTCTACAGCAGATAGTAAGGTTTTTAAAAGCATCTGACTTCCTGGTTACTCTGCTGTATGAGCATATGGACAATATCCTACAAGTGGTGAAAGATGTAAAACTGAACACCCCTGGGTGTATGACTGGATGAAACAAAATCTTCAGTCCCACCATAAAGATGGCTGTTTTGGATTTGAGAAACATTCTCTTTCTCAACATTAACACATCAGGTATTTTCTTCTGGAAATATTCATATCTCTGGTTCTTATGCTGGATCCTTCTCTTAGTGATGATTCTTCCTAACTGTGGAGTTCTTGGTACTCTCTGAACTTGGTTGTTTGCTTGCAGACATTTTATTACCCAACTAGGTAACATCATCAGTTTTACCTACTTTGTCCATCAAACCTAAAAGAAAAGTCTCTAGTTTTGATTGTATGTTAATCTTTAGAATCTTCTATATACAAATATGTATCTCATTCCAAATTTTTTTTGCATTTTTACAAGTCCACCAAAGATGATAAAATGTCCCTTCATGTTGTTCACATTTCCAACATACATTCAAGGTGCCTTTATACATTTTAGATAATTTTTCTGGTGACAAATACTAATGATACATCATTTTGAAAAAAATCTGTTTTAAGTTATAACAAAAGGTAAACTTTCTGCCACATATTTTTCCATTGTACCAACTGTACATTTTAGCCCATTTTATCATATGCTCTTTCATCTTCTGTTTCAAATCTCAATAAAAGTTTGTACATCTTTGCAATAACATGTTCGTCATTAGTACATAATTCTACTTCAAACTCAGTCTTAGCATATTTAAAACCATAAACCTTTTTATCTATTTTAAATCTTTCTTGTAATTGAACATAAGAAAACCATTGACACACATATCCCTCTGCTAACAAGTCTTCTCTTGTTTTCAATTAAAATTGAAATCCCTTTGAGAGAGTTCCAATAGATCACTATAGGTTAGCCATTTACTTTTCATTTATCATTTCTTTTCTATACAATGTTTCTTGTGGAGAAACTTTTGGAGACAACCTAAGTTTATATCTGTTCCATATTCTCAAGATGGCACATCTAATAAAATGATTTTTAAAATCTGCATTAACTTTAACTTTATCATACCATAAATAGCCGTGCCACCTGAATCTTAAATCATCACCCTCTAGTTCCAGTAACCTTCTGTCTCTCAAAGTGATCTACCCTTTCATCCAAACCAAACAGCAAGCTGCAAAATAAACTTTCAAATTAGGAAGACCGAAACCTCCTCTCTCTTTAGCATCTTGTAGTACTTTATACTTCATTCTTGGTTTTTTACCTTGCCGCATATCTTTATTCCATTGCTTAAATGGAAGATCAGTTGTCATCACAGGTATTGTTTGAAACAGAAATAACATTCTAGGCAAAACATTCATTTTAATTACTAAAATTCTATCCAACAATGACACTTGTAATTTTTCCATCTTGACATACCTTTCTTAGTATCATTCCAGTCTTAACATAATTATTTTGAAATAATATACAATTACTATTTGTCAGGTGCACCCCAAGTACTTAACCTTCTTTTCCACCTTAAAACCAGTTTTATTCATCAACACTTCTTGTTCCTCTATCTTCATATTTTTTGTTAGCATTTTAGTCTTTTGTTTGTTAATTTTAAAACCTGCCAGTGCACCAAATTCTTTCAACTTTTTTATTAATTCTTCAATCCCCTTCAGTGGGTCCTCCAAAACCAATACCAAATTGTCCATAAAGGCTGTCAGCTTATATGTCTCTTTTTTCATTTGTATGCCCTTTATCCTCACATCACTCCTTATATCTTTATTCAAAACCTCCAAAACTAAAATAAACAGCAGGGGAGACAATGAACAACCTTGTCTTGTTCCCTTTTGAATCTCACATGGTTTAGTTAAATCTCTATTCATGATAATTTGTGCTTTCTGTGATGTATAAATCGATTTCACTCCTGTTGTAAAAGTCTCTCCAAAATTCATATCTTCCAAAATTTTAAACATAAAAGATCAATTTAAGTTGGCAAAAGCTTTCTCTGCAACCAAAAAGATTAATGCAGCTTGTTTTTCATTATGTTGTTCTAAATATTCAATTATATTCCACACTGTCCTAACATTGTCCTTTAAATTGTCTTTTGGGTAAAAAAAATCACATTGATTTTCATAAATAAATTCTTGTAATATAACTTTGAGCCTCTCTGCTAAAATCGTAAAAAATTTATCATCATTATTCAATAATGATATTCGTCTATAATTTTTTGTTAAAGTCAAATCCTGTCCCTCTTTAGGTAATAGTGTTATATTGGCCTCCTTCCAAGATTCTGGCATTCCACCTTCCACCAGTATAAAGTTCATTATAGCTTGGAGGAGTTGTAAAATTTCATCCTCAAAACTTTTATAATATGACCAGGGAGCCCATCTGGTCCTGGGTGCTCTACTTGGTTTTATCTTTTTAATAGCCTCCGACACTTCCATTACAGTAATAGGTCCATTTATAATCTGCCTTTGCTTGCCCATAAGTTTTGGCAGGTTTTGTTTTTTTAAATATTCATCTATTTTTTCCAAAGAGAAGTCCTATTTTATATATATATATATAAATTGAATAATATTGGTGGAAAATTCTTTGCATAGTCTCAGTATTCATTATTTCCATATTCCCTTCTCAAAGTTTTGTAATCACCTTTTTTCCTTTCTCCTTTCTTAATTTATATGCCAACCATCTGCACCATTTATTTGCAAATTCAAAATTCTTTTGTTTGACATAATTCATCTTTTTTCCAATTCTCATACTGTTAACTTGGATAGTTGTTGCAAAAATTTGATTAATTTTAAAATACTTGACTTTGTTGGTGTTAACTTGAATTCATCCTTTTTTTCTTTATCTCCTCCAAGAGGGTTTGCATTTTCTCTTGATTCCTCTTTTTGCACTCAATATTATGCTGTATAAAATATCCTCTCACGAAAGCCTTACTTGCGTCCCAAACCATTGTCAAGTTGGTACCTTTATTTAGATTACTCTCAAAAAAATCCATTAATTTTTTTTTACAGTCTTCCGCTATCTCTTCCTTTTGTAACAACATTTCATTTAATCTCCATCTAAATGAAGTAGATTTTCTTTTGAAGGTCCAGCTCACTGGATTATGATCAGAGAAAGTCTTTGGTAGAATTTTCACTTTGAGGTATTAGCAGCCAAAGTCTGCTGAAATCCAGATCATATCTATCCTTGAAAAAGATCTGTGTCTTTCTGAAAAATAAGTATATTCTTTAGAAGTCCCATTTTTCTATCTCCATGTATTTATTAAGGCAAAAGTGTCCATCAAATCAAAAGAAGTTTTAGGGAATTTGCCTTGGTTCTTTTTAACTCCCTTCACAGAGGTTTCATCCAATTGTGGGCATACCACTCCGTTCCAATCTCCCATCAGACACCAATTTTCGTAAGAAAAATTCATCAGTTTGTCCATAAGTCCTTTAAAATTTTTTCCTTTATCTTCATTTGGAGCATATAATCCCAAAATTAATGTTTTAATTCCCTATATTTCAACTTTTACTCCAACAAATCTACCATCTTTATCAGCTAATATTAATTTTGGTTTTAATTGTGGCATAACATATAACACAACACCATTAATTTTTTTGAGCCTGTTGAAATAAATGATATGCTCATCTTCTTCTATTTGCACCTCATCCAAATCTCCTTTAATTTTTTCCCAAAAACACTTTAGCTTTGTGGACTGAATTCAAATGGAATCTTTTTGTTGGAAAGTGAAAACCACTCCCTCCATTTTATCCCAGTGAAACATAATCTTCTTCTGTTTCAATACCTCCGTTAAAAAAAGTATTCCTTTCTCTTACGTAAGATTCTAACCAGAATTTCTTTTAATATAATTATATCCACATTGTCCACCTTCAGTTTGGTTTGGAAATGTGTTTGCAAAACTTGATCTTTACAGAGTGTACTAGTACATCTCTTGGAACATGTCTTATTGCTGTGTAGCATGAATTAACCCTTTACACTTTGCCTATCTCCTGTTTTTTCTTCTTCCCAGTTTAGAAATTCTGTCAGCACTTGAATTATCCTTCTAATATCTTCCCCTGCAACTTCAGGAATAGCTCTGAATCTCAGACAGAATTCCTTTTCCCTTAATTCCAACAATGCCATATTGTCCAATCCTTTCTGTTACACTTTAAAACAACTGTAGCTTTGCTGTGGGAAACGTATGGCTGATTTAAAATGTAATAGAGAGGAGATATGCTTGCCTACTAGTATATTCTGAGATCAGATCCAAAGCATACCATGTTACGTACAGTTGTGCTATTTACCTGCATAGCTTATCCATCCTCTGTACAGTAGAGAGCCACTTGTAAGTAATACTTCTGATATATTGCAATGTCTATCATTTAAGGATGTACATCATGGAAATGGTACCCAGCAAGCTTTCTACAGTGATCCCAATGTCCTTTATATTTCACTACATCGCTATGATGATGGAAACTTCTTCCCTGGCAGTGGAGCCCCTGATGAGGTAATAATACTGATAAATATGTTTTTTTCAGATTTTTGATAATACTGTCCTGCAACTTAGAAGTCAAGTGATAAAATGCTGGGTCTTTATTGAAAAAGAGAATCTGATTTCTGCCATTTTCAGAAGTAAATGTTTTAGCTTTTAATTCTCTATAATTATTTAGCCCTACCCCTCAAATCCATAACAGCTAAATATAACTGTAATAACATAAGTTACTAATGTTTTGAACTTTGATATATATATAATATAATATAATATAATATAATATAATATAATATAATATAATATATAACAAAACAAAACAGGAGAGCCAGTTTGGTGTAGTGGTTAAGGCATCAGGCTAGAAACTGGGAAAATGTGAGTTCTAGTCCTGCCTTAGGCACAAAGCCAGCTGGGTGACCTTGGGTCGGTCCCTCTCTCTCAGCCCTAGGAAGGAGGCAAGAGCAAACCACTTCCGAAAATCTTGCCAACAAAACTGCAGGGACTAGTCCAGGCAGTCACCAGGAATCAAAAACTGACTCGCATGCAAGCATGCATAAGTAAATAAATAAATTAGATTTTTTAATCCCTGATTGGCATGTTATTGTTTATCATACCAGCGGAGGATTCTCCCAGCACTGACTAAAAGGCATGCATAAATAAATAGTAGATGTTTAAATATCTGCTTGTCATGTTGTTGTTTATCATACCAGTGGAGGATTCTTCCAGCCCAAATAATATTTTTCTTAAGTTTAGAAGAGGGGAGTTCTCACAGTGACACTTCTGATTTATATTATTGTTTGTTACTGTGAATGATGAATTGATTAATACTCCAGTCTGTGTAAAGGTGATTTTGCAGTTTAAAAATAGAAAATATGCATATTCCTTTGACCTATTCCTTTTTTTTATAGTAATTTTATTAAAAATTAAAATTGCAACAATAAAGACTAATACAAGCTAAAAAAAAAAGAATAAAAAGAAAAATAGAAGGTACAGAAAAGAAAAATATAGAGAAAAAAGAAAAATATAGTAAAGAAAAAGAAAAGAAATATAGTAGTCCCTGGGTTAAGAATGCTTGGTTTATGGACGACCCATAGTTAAGAAAGGAGCCTATTGTAGCAAAATTCAAGTTAAATACACAATGATTCGAGTTAAATACACAGTGATTCAAATTTACACAATACTACTTATACAGTATTAAACAATAATACTGTTCTGGCTTACATACAAATTCTAGTTAAGGGCAGACCTTGGTAACAGAACTCATTCTTAAACTGGGACTACCTGTATATAAAGAAATGACTTCCCCATTCATCACAACAAGTATAAACAATTTTAGTAACTTATCACCTTCTCTTAAATACAAAATACAATACATTATATCTTCTTCTCATATCCCATCTATAAATAAATCCTTAAAGCCTCGTCTTTAGTCCATGAAGAGTTACTAGAGATAACAACCTATTTTAATCTTGATCAAATAAACCAAATTTATATTCTTTTACTTTTAACGATCTTTAGGCCCTTCAAATAATGTCGTAGAACTTGATTTCTTTTCGTTTTTTCTTTATCCCTTCTCACAAAATTCTTCAAAGGTTTAACAAGCCTCTTTTGTAAATCCAACATAGGAAAATTATCAAGGTTACTCTCTTGGTTTGTTATTTGTATATCCCTTCTAATTATTAAGACATCAGCTGGTTTCTTTTGTATGTCCAGTGTAATATCTTTTTCCATGTCATTTTTATAGCCTATCATTTTTAAATCCACTTTCAGATCAGTCTCAATCTTGTCAGGTAAAACTTGTTCCTCTTTCCACAGAAAGGATTCTTATAATTAATTCCAAAATCTTATTTCAAATCCATCTGGACAGTTAATCTGTTTGTAACTTTCCAAAATCAAAGTTCTAATCACCTTTTTGCTGTTTGTTCAAAAAAATATTTTTTAAGTCCTTAAACTTGTATTTAAGACTTCTTTCACTAAGGATTGAAGGAAACTCACCCAGTGTTTTCAGACTTGTCTATCCAAAGGTTCAAATAATTGAAATAACTGAAAAGCAGTTAACAAGCAACTTTAGAAAAGGAAGTATGCAAACCCAGTGTCCTTTTAAAAGTGCCGACTGTGGTTTGAACAATTTGGCTCTTCCCTTGTCTCCCAGAACTGTAAACCTACCAGAGACTGCTGTCTTGCAGTCTCTGCATGAGAGCAACTGTCTGGAGCACTTGTGGGCGATCTCAAGTCCTCTCCTTGTCTGGAGAGGAATAACGAAGAGCCTCTTCATTCCACTGCGGTCATCAGCTCCACTTTTTGTGAAGCTGTCTTCAGTTCACCATTTCTTCCCTGGAAGTCTCCTTTGACCTATTCCAGCTTTCTTCAGATTTGTACCATTCAGGTGCTTTGGTCTGGAACTGTTGCTTTCTAGTCAGCATAGGAATTTCCCATACCCAATTGGGAAAAGCTGTCCTGTCCTGTCTCTGCTCATTTACTGAGTAAATGCAGCAAAGATCAATATCCCTCTTGCAAGCATATTATGACATGGGGTCATCCATTGAAATAACTTGTGGGGAAAGTCAGGACTCATATTTTTTTAAACAACATTTAATTTACATAATTAATGAATAGTTCAGCCATAGAATTCATTGTCCTTCCCTGTGGCAGTGGCCCTGACTTGGATTTTTTATAAACAAATTCATGGGTACTAGTTTGAATGGGTATCTATTTTCTCTGTAATTAAAAGCCTAGGATCTTAGATGCTAGAGATCGCAGGTTACTTTTGTGCTTTGTAAGTTTCCCAAATGTCCCTGATTGGCAGTTGTATGATATACAGTGTTGGATTAAGATGGACTTTTGGCCCGACGCAACTGTCATGTTATTATATTGTCAATTATATAATATAAATTATAATTTAATATTATACTGCTCTCATACCAGGAAAACTAACTGTGCTACAGCATATAGAATAATTATTTAAAATACATTGTCCTATAAACTTAAAGCTTTTCAAAAAAAAATCCTTGAGTACATGCTTTCACTGAACAAGGTCACAAGAAATGAAAAATTACAGATAAAATCAGGAGCACTTTGAGTGATTACAGATATCTATGCTTCCAGCTATTGCAGTGATAATCCATTTCTGCTAGTCTTATCTGTAGTCTTGGTATTGATGAGTTAAGTTATCCCATATAAATGGAACATAGACTGTCTTGCTTTCCAAAGTCTGTTGATTCTGCATGTATATGAGTCTCCACAAGGAGATACGGATGCTGTTTGTTTTTCATGAGAATTGTACACCCACCTAGGTCAAGTTTTATTTTGTAAAGAGGGCAGAAAGTAGGAAATGTAAAGGTCCATGAGGAGCAATTACATTTGTATTATTTATTTGAAAACTTATAGTGTCCATTTCCTTTATGATTCTAAGAAGCTTACAGGAATATAATATGAGCTATCAAAACGTGGATTGTGACCTTCTGAGCGGTCATGGGCAAATTAGAGGGAACTCACCTTTTTTTTTTTTTTAACTGATCACACTAGTTCAGGCAAAGGAGAGCACTATCCAAATTTGCTTCAGTGGCTTGCTCAAGTGAAACAGAGCACAACCAGGATCTAACTTTGAGAAATAGTGAGACCTATTTGTCAAAATGTTAGACTATCTGTCAAAACCATCCACCAATCACAGTAAGTTTATTGACTTGTTGTTTTATTTATTATTTGGGAGTAGTCACACGGATTCACTTAACATTTTATGGGGTTGTGATATTGCAAATTTTGAGAACTCCTATATTAGAAAATTAATTAAAATGATTATTTAAAGATACAATGAATAAAACAGAAAAGGTACAATGAAAGAATTTAAAAGGCGTTGGTAAGTAAGTATCCTTCAAATCTGACTTTAGTTTTTGTCATGCTACCCACCCACTTGTTGTCCTGGTCCCACATACATTTTGGAGTGTGGCTTTTGCCCTACCATTTTAGACACTTCTGCTTTAAAATTGCAACATGAAAAGAATGTTCTAACTGCTATTCTATGAACAATTACATTTTTAAAAAATGAAGTTAATAGGGTCTTATTATTAAATCATGTCTAGGATAGTGTCATTAATGTAGTTAAAAGTTAAGATTGTAACTTTACGTTCCATTTACACTGTGGTTAAAGTTTCTGCATCAAGTTTGTATTTTTTTTATATTAAATGAAAATATGAAATAGGAGAGCCATTAAATGATTTGAAGTGCTGCTAAGCAAATAATCTTATAGTTATTAATATTTCCTAGATATATAACCTGTCCCATTCTTTTTCTTGATTCTCCCTTTCTTAGGTTGGCATAGGATTGGGTGTTGGTTTCAATGTAAATATAGCGTTTACTGGTGGTCTTAATCCACCAATGGGAGACCCAGAATACTTGACTGCTTTCAGGTAATTCTTAAATTATACTTTTTTCTTAGATTGTTGGGTCATTAGGAATATCTGTATGTTAACAAACCACACTATTCAGATTTGAACACTCACCTTTCTGAAAAATGAAATACATTGCTTAAAGGCAGTACAGCTCTTACTGTACAAAATCTGGTATGATTTGCTCCTCTATATAATTTTTTGCTTTATGATATATTTCTCAGATGTGATATTGCTTCATGTTATCTACGTTAATAGTGCCAGTAATCACCATTGATTTAATTAAGTGTAAGAACATTGTTTTTAGTACATCTTAACTGATGTACTGAACAACTACTTAAATATAAAACTGACTTGTTAATATGTATTTATACTGGTTCCATTTTTGATATATGTTCCTTACATAATTTTGTAAGTTTTGATGAGTAAGTCTCATTACTCCCTATTTCAATAAATTCAAGCCACAGAGACATCCTTTATTTACAAAATCTACAAGCAAATTAAGGAAAATAATTGCTGGAATCACTGTTCTTGGTAAAATTATCCTAAGTGTCCATTTCAAGTAATTTCAAAAGGAAAATGCAATACACAGCACAGCCTGGAACGGCCTAACTTTTTTCTCTGAGGACCCCTTCCTACTTTTAAAAATTATGGAGGATCCAAAACAGCTTTTGTTTGTATGGGTTATATTTATCAATATTTACTGTATTAAAAATTAAAATTGACGTATTTGCTGCCATATTGCTTCTCATGATTGTTTGATGTGATTTTAATATTGTATTGTTTTTTAATGTAGGCTGGCAAATAATTTTGATTTCGAGGAACCCTGAGAGGGTTTTGGGGGATTCCCAGGGGTCCTAGGACTGCACTTTTAAGAAACACAGACGTAAAAGAAAACATATGTTTTCTTTTTTTAGCAGTAATTTTTATTTTTAATTTAGTTGTTTTAATTTTAATTTAATTAAATTAAAATTAAAACAACTAAATTAAAAATAAAAATTACTGCTAAAAAAAGAAAACATATGTTTTCTTTTTTTAGCAGTAATTTTTATTTTTAATTTAGTTGTTTTAATTTTAATTTAATTAAATTAAAATTAAAACAACTAAATTAAAAATAAAAATTACTGCTAAAAAAAGAAAACATATGTTTTCTTTTTTTAGCAGTAATTTTTATTTTTAATTTAGTTGTTTTAATTTTAATTTAATTAAATTAAATAAAATTTAGTTTATTTTAAATTTAGTAATTTAGTTGTAGTTTAGCTGTAATTCTAAACAAAAAGCAGCCAAGACTCCATGAGTCAGGTAGACAGCACAATCCAGATGTTTTTTACATAGAGATTTATTTTCCAAAAGACTATTCTAAAGATACTGAGATAGGCAGCTTGTTTTTTGTTGAAGGGTTAAAAGGGCCCCATTTCAAAAATATCTATCCTGCACATATCCCCCATATTTCCTGAATTCCAAATGGCATGGGAAACATATGTAGACAGGAAGTCTCTCCATTGGAGAAGTTCATTCACTTGATGAGCAACAGAAATAACAAGCTGCAATGAGGGGTAAGAGCTAGTATATTTATTCTCCTTTTCTCCCAACATTCATTGTATTCTAAAGCAGAACATTTGAATTGGGCTAGGCATCCACACCCAAATCTCTTTTTGTGCTCCCCCCCGAAGATCTTTCAAATACAATTGCTGAAAACTGGCAACAGAGTTCCCTACCATGTTGAGGTGGAAAACATGCCAAAGTTGTCCAAAATAGGCTCAGTGTAATATTAAGAACAAAAAACCCACAAAGCCCAGGATCATTATCTTATTATCTGTAGCCAGTGCACTTCCAAAAAATGGTAAATACAACCAATAGGGGCTAGAGAGTACTGCATATTTGTCCGTTAACATCAGTGTTCCACATCCTTGAGTTCACCATTGATACTTACTGTCAGGCTCTGTTTCTTGGTGATTTCAGTCAGGACAGGCAAACTCAGATGTATCTGGTTAGCATTATATGTGATCCACAAGACTTCATGCATCCAATGTAATTATATCTTTTTATTTCATTGTTTT